GTCTCCAAAAAATCCGGGGTTCAATTGAGGCCACGATTTTGGAAAGCTGAATTGTTGCAGGGGGATGGAAATTTAGTTTAACCGAGATTCCGATGTATGTAGGTACATATGTCTTGTACCAGTTTATGCATTCTTGACATAAAAGTGGATTTGCTGTATGCCAAGATTCCAAGCCACGAAATACCTGGAAGGATTGACGCAAGCCACCGAAACTTTGAAGAAAGAACATGTGCCATGGAGGTGAGATGATCGGACAGATCCGATGGAGCTCGCTGGACCCCTCCTTCTCTGCTCAAAGCTCTGCTGCATCGTGATGTGGGGGTGACGCATCCTGCAACAAGCTTAACGCATGTCCTCAAACTAAATATACAAGGCTAACCAATGAATTGAGCCATTTTCTGTATTCTGGTTTCAGACGATCGATGTTTGCATAACACTTGTTGATTAAGGGTTCATTTCTAAGTTTGGTTTAAGAAACTCAAACGACCCCTATAAATACATTTTCATCGAGCTGTCTCTGGTTGTTTTCTATTACTCTTCAAGCTTAGGTAGGCGCAACAGTCCTAACATCGGAAGCTAAGGTAGACCTATCAGTTTACGTACCTCTCCGAAGATAACATTATTAATATCTGGGGATTACTCACTCTTCTCAAACATCGACATTTCTATTCTTTGGTTTCATTCTACCAACAAAGTCAAGATGGATCATTTTGACTGGTCAACACCCCATCCGGAGGGGGTTATATCCTTCCTCGATACCGATTTGTACAAGTTGACGATGCAATGCGCCGTCTTCAAATACTACCCTGATGTCCCCGTCACATATGCGTTTACCAATCGTACTCCCGAGAAGAAATTGTCACGCAAAGCCTTCAGTTGGCTGTGCGAGCAGATTAGCAGTGGGTGCTCCTATCCAACTCCTCCAGCATCGCGTGCATCGTTGCTGATCATTGATGTAATGTAATTGTAGAACTTGGCAACATCTCATTATCCGATGACGAACTTCGATACTTGCAAACACACTGCACATACTTGTCACCTGCATACTTAGACTTTTTGAAAGAATTTCGACTTAAGCCTCGCGAGCAGTTAAATCCGACGTTCCACCCTGTAGAAGCAAACACGGGAGCCGAAGACGAGCTAGGCGATGTCCATATTGAGATCAGGGGTACATGGGTAGACACCATTCTCTACGAGATACCACTTCTCGCTTTAACGTCCGAAGCCTACTTCAAGTTTATGGACACCGACTGGAATTATGATGGACAAGAAGAGAAGGCAAAGGACAAGGGCTTGCGCCTTCTTGAGGCAGGATGTGTACTTTCCGAATTCGGTACTCGCAGACGAAGAGATTACCACACCCAGGCATTGGTATTCAGAGGTTTGGTGAAGGCCAGCAAGGACGCAGAGAAGCGCGGCCTTCCCGGCAAGCTCTCTGGGACCAGTAACGTCCATCTAGCTATGCGATTCAATCTTGCGCCTGTTGGAACCGTGGCGCACGAGTGGTTCATGGGTATTGCAGCCATCACGAATGACTACGCGAAAGCCACTGAGGAGGCGCTACGTCGATGGATTGGTTGCTTTGGCGAGGGCGTGCTAGGAATTGCATTGACAGACACGTTTGGCACTCCTGAGTTTTTGAAAGCGTTCAGCAAACCTATCGATTATCTTCCCGATACCCCGAACATTCCACAGCAGGAAGAGGGCAGCCGTCCTACGACCTCCCCTCGGAGCTATGCCGAAGTGTTTGCCGGTGTGCGACAAGACTCAGGCGACCCTACGAATTTTGTCAAGTTGATGCGTGACTTCTACGAGAAGCACGGAATTAAGGGCAAGAAGACGATTGTGTTCTCTGACTCGCTTGATATTGACAAGTGCATTGAGTACAAACGCATATCCGAAGAGCAAGGCTTCCAGCCGACGTTCGGTGTCGGCACATTCCTGACTAACGACTTTGTTCAGCTGAGCACTGGAAAGAAGTCAGTGCCCATGAACATCGTCATCAAGCTGAGCTCCGCCGCGGGAAACCCGGCTATCAAGATAAGCGACAATATTGGAAAGAACACGGGCGACTCTGCTAAGGTGACGGAAGTCAAGCAGCTCCTGGGGTATGTCGAGAAGGATTGGGCCGGAGGAGACGAAACCTCGAGATGGGGCAAGGCTGATGATGTCGTCAAGACATGAAGACACAAATAACCCACACGATTGGTATGATGGATACGATCGAGTCAGCTAGCAGCCGGCTAAATGATAGATTCGTTTAGGACGGTGGATTGCCACTCCCAGAGGAAGGGAAACGTACCTGAATCGTGGCTGTATGCCACATGACCATGAATCTTAAGGTGGAACCCCTAAGATCTTGCATTGGACCCCTACGGAGATTATCACAGATGTTTACATTGACAATAGAGATGGACCAGTCGCAAACAAGATGATCCAATCAGTAGATAATTCCAATCGTCTTGAGTCGGAAGAGTGCAGACGGCGCATACGCCATGGATCTCGCCAGCTGCTTTTCTTGGCTATAAAGCATGCGTCGCGAACATGGTCTTGTAGAAAGTCACCATAGAGAATCCAATAGAGCTTTAGAGTCAAAGAGACATTAGATTTTACTTATTTTCGTATCATTTTTGCTATATTTCATTCTTTTCCAATGGTTCGTTTTGGGTTGAGCCTTGCTTGGGTGTCTGCGTTGACATCTCTGGCGTATGGCGGCGCGTTTAATATAAATTCTAAGAACAATGTTGTTGTCTACTACGTAAGGATACCTGGGCACTCACCTTACCATTCTCACCTTCCCCTATACTTACTTACCTACGCATGACAGGGCCAAGGACCAAACCAGCAATCCTTAGCAACATACTGCGCCGACCCGAATATAGACGTCATCGTCCTCTCGTTCGTGAACTTATTCCCGGCGCAAGCCAACGGCTTCCCCGGTCTGAACTTCGGCAACCAATGCGGCGCGACGGTATACCCCGGCCCGGGGTACAACGGGGTGAACAACGCGACCAACAACAACCTGTACCAATGCCCGGCGATACAGCACGACCTGTACACGTGCCGACAGACGTCAAACAAGAAGATCCTGCTCTCGCTCGGCGGCGCGACGTCGACATACCAGCTCACGGGGGCCACGGACGGGACCAACTTCGCGAACATGCTGTGGGGGCTCTTCGGGCCGCGCACGACGACGTGGGTCAACGCGGGCAAGCCGCGGCCCTTCGACTACAACGGCGTGGGGTTCGCGGTCGACGGGTTCGACCTGGACATCGAGCACGCGCCGACGGACGGCTGGGCGGGGTACAACGCGCTGGCGACGCAGCTGCGCGCCAACTACGGCACCGCGTCGGGCCAGGCCTTCTACCTGACCGCCTCCCCGCAGTGCGTGGTGCCCGACGCCAACCTGAAGGGGGTCCTGCAGCAGGGCACCTTCGACATGCTGTTCGTGCAGTACTACAACACGCCGCAGTGCGCCGCCTCCACCTGGGTCGCCAACAACGCCAACTACAAGGCCGGCGCGACCTTCAACACCGCCGGCTTCACGTTCGACACCTGGACCACCTGGCTCGCGAGCACGCCGAGCAAGAACGCGAAGCTGTTCATCGGACTCCTGGGATCTGCTCAGGCGGGCAGCGCGGCGTCCATGGTCACGCCCGCGCAGGCGCAGAGCTTGGTTAGCGCGTACTACTGCCGCAGCAATTTCGCGGGCGTCAGCGTCTGGGAGGCGACTTACGCCGCGTCGAATGTCGTCAACGGGTTGAACTTTTATCAGAACATGAAGAAGGATTTGAATACGTCGTCGACGGCGACTGCGCTTTCTTGTGTGGTGAGTACTGATGAATAGCTATTTTTGTTTCTTGTCGTCGCTTTTCACCCTCGTCTTCGTCACTCTCTTCGTACTTTTGGATGAGAAGAAAAAAAAGACGGAGCGAGTAAGGAATTGCCCCCCACGCACCCCCCCACGTTCCCTTTCTAGAGGCGAAATTAAAAATAAACGCAACTGACATAGGCTAACCAACTTAAGTAGGCGCCGGCGCCGGTCTCCAGCAGTAGTAGCAGCAGCTCCACATTATCAACCTCCACACGGACGCCGACGCCGACTTCAACGACGTCCACCAAGAGCACCGCGACGCCGACCATCCCGGTCTCCACGAACAACCTCTGCGGCACCAAGTACAACACCCGGTGTCAGACGGGACAGTGCTGCTCGCAGTACGGGTACTGCGGCACCGGAACCAGTTACTGCGGCACGGGCTGTCAGAATGGCTTCGGGACGTGTACGTAGCTGGTAGGATGATGCGTGCGCTTGTGCGGAGAGGAAGTGAAATGGAGTGGTGTAGAATAATGTGTACGATAGATAAGAGATATGGACGACGCGAAGTGGCTTGATGGAAAGGCAGTAATCCGCCATGTATAAATACCATTTGTCGCGACGATGCAGCCCCTGAATTTGAGTGTTAGCAACGCATCCGGTCTCGGGTAGAATTCGTACTGGAATTCAAATTCAATGTTATTACTTTACCGTTCAATAATCAATGGAAAATGTCCTCTTGGGCGTCGTCGGATAAGTATAATTTGTTGCAAAGACCGCGTCGGCATGAAGTAGCAGATTTAGGTAGAAGGTATTGATTGGAAGTGAAATGATGGAGCTGTGTCTTTTTTTTTCTTGCACGTCGGTACATTTTAAACTAGGTAGCAGCAGACAAGTAAGTGTGTTCTAGGAGATGCTCTGTTTATAAATGTGTACCTAGTTTAAAAAAACAATAAATGCGGACTTGGTACACAAGAGAGAAAAAAAAGAGAAAAAAAAAGAAGGGCAACTTTGATCATAGGTGACTGTTAAGCCAGATTCCGCCTGGGCCCCATGCGACATCATCACCAGCCATGTCAGACGACGTCCTCCACGGCTTGTTCAGTCATACATGGGTACATGAATGAGTCATTTCGACCTATTGATCCTCCAAGTTTGAGTTGGGGTTGCCAATTGCAAGGGAGACTGCCACCGGTGGGAATTGAACCCACGACCTTGACGGTTGTTAGTCCAGGTTGTCTTACCAACTAGACCACGCATCCGTACAGTAGCAGGCCCCCTTATTGAAAAATACAGGATCAATTGCAATTCATATGCAACACTTCGGTTCCTACTTTGCAGCGCAAACTCCTCGCAGCCACCACTCACAGCCACTATTTCAATTTCATTTCATGGATAGGTACCTTCGAATCTCTGGATCTTTGAATTCCCACAAGACATTCATCTAGCTACTTGCGCAGCTTCATTTCCAGAGGGTTTCTTACGGGCGACGAAATTGTAATTCGCTCACGTTCACATTAATTAGGCATTCCATAGAACATGAAGTCTGCCATCATGAACATACTACACTATGCTACGATTTTTACGAATACTTCAGAAGTCTACCATGCTTAAAGAAAGAACTCAATGAATTTCAGTAACTAGTTAGGAGTTCAGACATTCCCAATCGCGGCATCTGGGACGGATCAACCGGTCTAAGTATCAAGAGCGTTTAAATGCCCAGTGGAATGGCAGCTAACGAAGAGGGAGGGTGGCTTGGAAGGTCTTTGCAGGCTCTTCCTTGTTTTCGTCGCCGACGGAGCCCTCGCCATCATCCATGTAACAATCTCCATCTTCATCCACATGATCCTCGTCACCCTCCCAGTACTCTTCTTCCTCGTCACCCTCATACTCCTCGTAATCCTCATATTCCATGTCATCCTCCTGATCATCCATGTGCTCATCAACGTCGTTCTCTTGAGTCTCTTCACCGTCTTCGTGATGCTCATCTGCAGAAGTCTGTTCACCGTCTGCCTCTTCTTTGCCTCTCGGCGGGCTTCGCGGAGACGGTCCGATCTTTCGAGACCCTGGTTGAATGCTTCGTTTGTGGCCTCCTCACTGCCCTCACAATCGGAATCCCAGGTCCACATCGGGTATAAGCCTTGACAGGTTTCCACAGACAGGTCCGGGTGATTGTAGGCCAGCCCCTTAAAGTCATCCACTGCTTTGTTTGCCGAGTTCCAGTGGGTCTTTTCGTAATACGGGGGCATGATGAAGTTGGGATTCCGTTGTGCGCGTTCCTTCTGTGAAGATCGCATCTCATAGAATCTGTTACGAGCGCAAATGACCTTGAGGGAAAAGGTGTAAAGCTGTGTGCCTCCAATGTAGCTTGCCCATCGGATTTGGCTGCCGATAGACTTCCAGAACTCCTCGGGCGCAAGTCCCTTGGCGCTAGTAATCTGTTCTCTGGCCAAAACAAAGAGCTCAGCGATGTAGTCTATGACAACGGACTCGCTCATAGGGCGACCAGCGCGACGCATTGCTCGGGTAAGCTCGCGGGATTGCTGGCTGCGCAAGAAATGTCGGTCGGTCTTTGATTCCCAATCGAAGCCATCCCAAGGGAGCATGCTCATGAGAGTCGGCGCCATCTATCATGATTTGTGAGTTTTTGGTCTATGGAACTTGAGTGCTTAGGGCGGAAAGTTAATCATACCTTGATGTAATGAAGATCCCGGATTGGCGACGGCAGAGAAATTCTTATTTGGTGGATTCAACGTGAAGTGAAACAGGTAAAGTTATCCGGAAGGGGAGGTAACTATTGAGACGACTATTAGTAAATGGATAGCTTGAGGAAGTCGTGCGGCGGAAAAAAGACAACGGGGAAGACTTTTGATGAAAGCGCAGTTCTTTCGAGTCAAGAAATGATGGAGGAAATGAAAAATAGCATACCTTAATTAACCCAAAACGTTCCGGCGACGTATCGGTACAGAGGCGAAGAAGGGTAGAGTTGCGAAGGGTAGGATGGAAAATGCAGGAATGTAAGAGTGTAAAGTTGGAATTGTATGAAGGTGAAGAGGAAAGAAAAAAAAGAAGTCGCGGAAACGCGCGGTGACGATAAATGAGAAGACGGGCTAGAAAGCTTAAAAAACCAGATGTCAAACGCGTTGTGGCTGCTGGAGTGAATGGAAGAAAAGAATCAAGTTTGGGACTTGAACTTAGGTACCTAGGTAAGATGTAGGTACATACATGTAGGTAGTGAATTCCATGTAGGTAATTATAAATTGTAGGCAATGGCCCACCTAGTCTGTCGTTACTGCCTCAGGGGTTCAACGTATGAAGCCTACTTATTCTATGTAAGGTACAATCATGAGGCAACTGCGATCCACCACGTCTTAATAAAATGTACTCAGCACTGGACATATTGACACTTGCACCTCCCATAACCGTCTAAATTGCCTAAGCAACCTTGAGTTGTTGCTTCTGCCACATTAGCAAAGAACAGAAGGTTGCTGCCACCGCAAACCCAAGTATGATGTACATCTGCGTAGTAAAGCTCCGAAGAAAAATCTCTCTGATGTCATTCTCAAGGGCACTAGGCAGGTTTTTAATTGTTTCAAGCGAACGAAAGATAGCTTCGGCCTCGTCGGAGCTTAGTAAGGACGCAGATGCTGCTTTAACCCAACTGTTTCCAACTGCAGTGGTAACGGAAACACCAACGGCTCCCCCGAGGAAGCGAAACTGGACCACGGCGGCGGATGCAATAGCTAGTAGTGGTAAGTTAGTATCAACTATTCGAACTTCTGGCAAATGGATTCCTGACGGGTTTCTGACGTGTACGTACCAAGGTCTTTCCGTTCAACTATTGCGGGTGTCATCAGGGTAGCTGTCCCTACAACAAACCCCAGGCCAACGCCTACAAGAACTTGCAATCCGTAGAGGCCATTCCAATGAAGATCATTGGCGGATACTTGGGTAATCAGAACAAAACCAACAATCTGAAGCATCTCTCCGAATAGCATCAAATAAAGGGGGGCAACACGTCGGTTTTTACATAAAGTTGCTGCTATGATGGCCCCTACAGGATAGACAGCAGAGAATAGTATCAGACGCACGCCAGCATCCAAGGGCTTAAGTCCCGAAGCCGCCTGGTAGCGTAAAGGAATCAGGACAATAGATGTAACGCTGACAGCGCCTATCATGAATGTGTTCCTAAACAAGCAGAAAATGGTTGTTAGCGAAGACGGATGACGAATTAAAATACGGACAGACGTACAGGAAAAGGCCCATGATACGGCGATTCTTGCAGAATTTCCAAGGGAAAATAGGTTCTGTGGAGCTTGCAGCAACGCTATGGTAACGTTCAACAGCCAAAAATGCCACCCAAGCAACGGCAGATATGCAGAGGGGTGCTAAAACACTTGCGCTCGCCCAACGCAACTGGGAGGCTCCTTGCTCAAGACCAGTGATAAGAAGGGTCAGTGCCGCAAGTAGCAGAAAGATACCAGCAAAATCAAGAGCTCTGAAACTGTGTCGCTGTGGTCTTAACGTCGGCTGATTGTGGTATGGAAAGTTATTTGGGATGGCAAGGAGGAGCAAAACTCCCACCACCGCACTACTAGGAACACTTGTAATGATTAGTTCTAGGGATATGCCACTTTAGCTCGTGTCGCACTTACTTGAGTAGGAATACCCATCTCCATGTTGAACCATCTGTGATGAGGCCGCCGAATACAGGACCTAAGGCGAAGGCGACTGCAAACATAACCATGATGATAGACGTGTATAGTGGGTATTTCGGGGGCGGTACCAACTCATAGATAATGATGGTAGTCAGGCCGTATATTCCTGACCCTCCTATACCCTGGAATACACGGCAGATGATACTTGGACATTATCAGATCCTTGGGTACCTAAGCTTATTCGGAAAGAAATGTCTGAGTACTTACAGTTGGACCATTGTTTGTGATGCAGCACACCCTCCAGAAAAGGTGGCAAAAATAAAGACAGCAGCAAGACATGTTGATTTACGTCCCAAGATATCGCTGAGTCTCGCCCAAAGCACCAAGCATCCTTAAACCCGAGTGTTAGTTACCATGGTATTGTATTGCATTGCATTCAATCACTCTTCTTACCTGTATAGGTCAAGAGGTAAGCCGTAATTACCCAACTGCTCCGATTATAATTATCGAGGTCATTTGTGATTGACACTAGAGCAGTGCTGACAATGGTAACCTCGAAATTAACTAGAAACAGGCCGAGTGATATCCTTCGCAACAATTAGTATAGTGTGTCAGTGCTCCATGGAGGGAAATAGTATATGCTATGTTTCATAGGACATGTTAGCTGGGGTTAGGACGACTCACCCTGCGGTGATGGCATATAGCCTCCAGCCCGTGATATAACTTGGTCCACATGGTTGGTGCTCTGGAACTTCAATTATCTGCTCTTTTGAAAGCTGAGTATCTTTGCCGTCTCCTGTCTCCTGAGTTGACTCCATTGTCTTTGAGGACATGGCTGACATCTCAAGGGGGGGAATTCTTGTCCGTATGTGATTGTGTATGTTGGCAATTCTAAAAATGTTCATGTGACAGGACTGGGAGGCTTGAAGAGGGAAGTGATAGAGATCAAAACTCCCGCAGAGTTGTTGGTTATAGGAGTGGCTTGGAATCACATACCACATACCAACCTACGTATGTACCTAAGTACCTACCCCTTAAAAAGTGCATGGAACAAACAGACCCAACACATAAATGTCACCTGTATGTATACCAAGGCGCATGCACATGAGGCGCATAGATACCTATCCCTAGGTACTTTAGGCAGGCAGCGCATTTAATATACCACATGGAGGCATTTTAATGCCGTGCAACCCAAGTTTTGTGATATCGTTTGACCGCCTGGTCTCGATTATTTTTATCTCATGCAGGCTACCAGCTTGAGCTCCGAATAGTCGCTCAGCTCCCGGTATTTTAAACGACGACATCCTGTTCTCGATTCTTTCTTCCTCACCCCGAAGCTTTTCTTTTCTCATCCTTCTCGCTGTAAGACGAACCTGCATAACCGACTGACAGAAATGGATATTACTGGCTATGGCTTGATTACCGGAGGAGGTAAGCGATTTGTGCCGCTTTCGTCGTATTGGTTGCTTATCAATTGGGGTACTCCTAGGTGGGGGTATTGGCCGGGCGTGCTGCAGCGCCCTTGCAAAAGCAGGTTCTCGGGGCCTCCTCGTGGCTGATCTGAACTTGCAGGCTGCGCAAAAGGCAGCATCCGAGGCCCAGGC